GTGCTGCCATAAACCTCTATCTTTTAATAGCTATATTAGTAATTCAATAAATTTAAAATAAAATTTATAAAAATCTCAAGTGGGCAAACCGCCCACTCGAGATGAAAAAAAACCCTAGGAATAATTTATTTGGCAATACAACGTTTGCCGGGTCAGCTAGTATTATAATAAGTTTTACGTATGTTCTTACTATAATCGGTGTCCGATGAACAAATTTTAATATACAGGATAGTTTTTAAGTGTGAGAGAGTCCATTATTTCCGAAATGTGCATTATTTCCGAATCCTAACTTTCGAAAAATAGTTTCATACTAAAGTTGCTGACGCACAAAGTGCGCACATTTTAAAAATATTTTATATGATACAGAGGGTCTCAGAAAAGCGAGGCAAGATCAAAATGTATTTTGTTAAATAGAACTACCCATTTTTCATTAACTCATGGAATGTAGTTTGAAACGCTGCATATGCAACGTAAAATGTTTTTTCTTACTTGCAACGTTGGCAGATAATCGCTATTTTAGGAAAATTTAGCATAAAGACATGGTCTCTAAAAATTTATTGTAGACCCAAAAAAAGCAGTTAGAGGTACAAAAAATATGTCTTTACAATTACCACAGGTTTGTTAAAAATTCTATAGAATCGAAATATCAATATTATGTATAATATTGTACAGGATGTTAACAATGTAGACTTGATTTTAAAACTTTTTAACGCAATATAACTGTTGCTTTTCAAATGGAAGTAGCTGTATATTAATACGTCATTAGATAGACAATTTACAAAGTTACGAATTTACATTTACACTTTAAGCTGTGAAATCAACCGTTTTCAAATTAAAATTCATTTTATTTAAAAATTTCAAAAAGTTGTTACATTTTGTAAGGCGGCTGTGGAATTCAATAAATAAGTGTCAACACTTTATACCTAAAAAATGCAGTAAAACTGCCATTCTGTAGACATTCTGTATTCATATAAAATATTTTTTAAGCCGAGCCATAGTGAGCCATATTACCCCTTAAAAGCAATGACGCTAATTTTGAATCACCCTGTATATTGGAAAAATTCGAACTAAATGAAAAATCGCCCAAAAAATTTTATATACCTGAAAAACGCAATAAAACTGCCATTCTGTAGACATTCTGTATTCATATAAAATATTTTTTAAATGTTCGCACTTTGTGCGTCAACAACTTTTACATGAATCTAGTTTTCAAATGTTTATCACCAAAGGAAATAATGGACTCTCGCGCACTAAAAAAACCATACTGTATAAATCGAGAGTTTTAGCCTTAAATAATTCACCAATTTCAAAAATTGATGGTGGCAAATTCAGGTAGTTCGCAACTTAAACAAATCTCTGTGGATCCGAACAATCTGTTTTCCAGAAAAAGTTTTCGCTATTTTCCAACTCAATTTCGGTTTGGAGTATTTTAACACATTTTTAAGCATACAAATTCAATAAAACTTAAAAAAAGTGGAAAACTGTCACTTGATCACTGCAGTTTTTTTTCTACTTCTGACCAAAGTTTAAAATATTAAAATTGAGTTAAGTTACTATTATTAATATTTTCTTTTTAAAAGTTGCTAAGAACAGTCAGTTAATTTCATGTCGCAGGATGCGATACATCTCTACCGAAACCTGAACGAAAAGGCTCAATATGGAATAAGAAAAATCGACTTGCCGTTCTTCAATCACATTGATTTTGTCATGGGAAGACACGCAAGGCAGATCGTCTATGATCCGTTGATGGAGGTACTAAACCAAGCTATTATGCCCTGAAGCTTCTGGAGCGCCGGGCGGATTTCCTAGTAGTTATTTAAGAAAAAATCCTGTATATTGAATCGCCCACTGGCTTATAGAGGTAGAAATTTGTCAGTGTTTATAGCAATATTTACGGTTTTAGTTACCAAAACTATGATAGGTTTGAGAATATGCTTATGGAAAATATATTAATTTAAATCAAAGTGTATCCTTCCTGACAGCAGCTTGAGGTCATGTGCAAGAACACTGTACTTAAACCGTTATTAGCCACCTTGTGCCGTTTTAATTTTTTTCAGTTCGGTTTATCTGATGAAATCGAAACATTTAGTCAAGCTAGAGAAATTAAGTCCGACAGCCTATTAATGACCGACTTACTAAAATAAAAATGGCCATATTTGCTTGTGTGAAATTCACATTAGTATGGCTGATGCAAATTGGACGGCATAATAAGTATGCACTGAATTTCTTTGTGTTACCGGGTCCAACAAGAAGAATCAGCAGATAATTCGATCACCTTAGATGGAGCTTGGGAGAATGTATCAAAAATTGCAGACACTGTTACTCTCGCAGTTAAAAAATCCCTAATCCGCAAAACTTAAACTATTTGAAACAGCTGAAATAAAGAGATTCAAACTTGTTAGCTGAACCTTGTAGTTCTTCGGCCAGTGACCGTCGAAGAAGAAACGGGGTCATCGGTGCTGCTCCATTCAAGTGCTTCGGTCAGTTCGAGTCAAGTTCACGGTAAAAGTGGTACATCAATGCGTGCGTTGCATCTAACCAGAAAATTAAAGTGTTTACGCGACAAAGATGGATAAGTTTCTGTACTGGGTTGCCCTTTGCGTTCTTCCGACGGTATTTTGCGGAAAGTACGTACCCAAATGGAAGAAGCAGGTAAAGCAGACAGACAGTCCAGAGTTCCCTCGGATGTACCAAATTAATTTCAGGCCTGTGAATTGCCTTCATCCCATAGCGAGTACTCCCATTATATTTGCTCAGACGATGGTGAGGTGAAATGCTTGCCAGGGTGGAACGGTGACCTTTGCGATGTTCCAAAATGCCGCTCTGGATGCGATCCAATGCAAGGGTAGGCTTATGGACTAACCGGTTAAAATCCCTTTTGTACCGTGTTTTTTTTTTAATTAGGTACTGTAATCGACCAGGAGAGTGTCTATGTAAGTTGGGTTACTACGGGAACAAGTGCAACAAGTGCATTCCCTTGCCTGGATGCCAGCATGGATATTGCAATTCCAGTTTTGAGTGTATCTGCCACGAAGGCTGGGATGGACTCTTTTGCTCTGAACGTAAGGAAAATGATCTTAATATTATTGGTAAAATCTTCATATCTCAATATATCTGTACAAGGTAAATCAAAATTGGCGTCATTCATATGGAAGTGTTGTTTGGCGGTGTTTTAGTACAAAAAAATATTCAAAAATTAATTGTTATGAAAAACTGAGAAATTTGCAAAAAACTATATTAGAAAAACGACAGCAATTTTTTTCAAAGTTGCTGCTTGCTTTTGCAAAGTAAATACCTGTTGCTTAGTAATTATTTAAAAATCCGGTTACCATGGATAAATAGAGAAAGTGATAATAAGATCGACAAGGATAAACAGTAAATTCAACAGCAATCATTGAATGACGGAACCTATTTCAAAATGTCAACCTGTTCTCATAACCTCGAATTTTGCGGGCTTTGGTGTTTACATAAATAATCCATACAATACCAAACATTGGAATCGTTAACTCCAAACAAGCTAGTGCCTGTGTAATTTCCTTATTATCCACCTTATCAAGCTTCTCGTATTCAGTTAATTAACGCCTGCTCTATTTGTATCTCCTTGTACTGTGTGTATCGTACAAACGTGGTAGGAATGCAGCCGGTATTTATTTGGTGCCTGGGAAAGTGTCAGTTATTGTGCTCTGAGTGCCCCTGGAAGGCCCTGATTCGCCCTGATTCGATTATCTCCAATACTTGTTCCTCTGTGCCTAGAACCCGAACATCGATTGTCGTCTACTGTCTTCCTGGAACCACTCTCCTCTCCCTTTGTTGGCGTGAGTTCCTTCAGCTTCTGCTASGTTACTGTAGAATTTCTCTTTAACTAATCCCATATTCGCAAATTCCCCTGGTACTACCTATATCTAGGAGGCATTCCCCTATCCACCACCTGTAGRGTTGCCCAATAGAKGATCTAATAACCCCACACGGGACAAAACATATAGTAACTTTCATATCGCACATAGTCACTTTCCTTATATCATTTTTCCTATGGTGACCGCTCGTTCGTCATCTCTGCCTTATATCATGTGATTACATTTGTGGAAGTTGATGTTGTTCTAGGCATATGCGTGTTGTGGCTCTGTAGGGGTCTTCGATCAGTGTGCGTGGTTCTTTTCTGTTTCTGGCTATTAGTACTATGTCATCCTCGAACATTTGTTTTTTCATCACGCGGCTGAATTTTTCTACATTGTTAATGCCCCTGTCTTGGAGGTCAATTGTTTTTAGCGCGTTTTTTAGTTCCTACTAGGGTGAAGAGGTTGGGTGACATAGGGTCACCTTGTTTACTCCTCTATGAATTTCCGTATATTGCGAATACATTTAGGGATACGTTATTTTTTAAGTTTACATATTTGTGGTCGATTCTAGCGTTTTTTAGAGCTTTTAAGGCCTTCCTGAAGTATTTAAACTTTAGCAATAAGGGGATGTTGCATTCCACAACTTTCTCCTTAAACAGTATCATCTTTTGTAGGTGTCCCATAGTGCTGTACCCCGTCCTAAGCCCTTAGTGACCCTAAAAGCTTAGTGACCCGGTTGATTATTAGTTTTGAAAATAATTTACATATCTAATATAGAAGGCTGATCGGTATGTACGTTTGCAAGTTTTCGGTGTCGTCCGTTTTGTGAGTGATTATTGAGAGGGTATTTGTCCAGTCCTATGGTATATCCTCGTTGTCCAGGCATTTGTTTGTGTCATATTTTTAATGACGTTTTAGAAAGTCTCTCCTTGTTTTATCACCTCCACTAATGTTTTATCTTCGTCCGGTGCTGACTCGATTCTGATATATTATGGTGCATTTTTTATTTCGTCCGTTCTTCTTCGGGTGTGTCACTCGCTGCCTCTGTCTCGTATATGTCTGCTGTCTATAATTATTGTACTGTTCTTACAATCTTTGATACGTTTGCCTTCTTTGCCTTTGATTTTTTCTTGGTGTTTGGCGCTTTTATCATTTTTGTTCCTATATGTAGTTGTGGGACAAAATTTCAGTTTTGCAGTCCTTTTTTAGGAGAAATATTTAATTTTCGGTTTTTTCTTTCATTAGTTTCCCATGTTGCTTCTTGGTTCAACGTTCAGAATGGGAAGTATGAAGGCATCTTTAAGCTTCTATCTATGTTTTTGAGTAATCAGCTGCATGTTTCACTTCTCTAAATGTATCACTTTTCCTTAGCAATTTGTCGCCAAGACTGCCACCAAGCCAGAGGGTACTGCAACGAACCTGGAGACTGCAAATGCAGGCTAGGATGGTCGGGAAGAACCTGCAAAGACTGTCAAGTCCTGCCTGGGTGCGTTCATGGATACTGCGAAAAACCTTTAGAATGCAAATGCTATCCAGGCTATTCTGGAATACTTTGCCAAACCCGTGAGTACCATCCAAGGCATTGCGCTGGTACAGCTTCAGGTTCCATAATGGAAATGTTACTTTGCTTATAGCCATCTGTTCAAAGACCTGCCACAAAGAGAGAGGATACTGCAGGAAACCGGGAGAGTGCAGGTGAGACAGTGTAGCAAAAATCATACAAACGATCCAATGAAGGAGAATTTTGTAGGTGTAAGGTGGGGTGGTGGGGCAAGAACTGCGAAAAATGCTTTCCATACCCGGGATGCGTGAATGGAACCTGCAACAGGCCCTGGGAGTGCAACTGCCAGAAAGGCTGGGGAGGAATGCTTTGCAACGAAGGTGAGGTGAACAAGGTTTGAACTCTAAGGAAGAATTAGTAAGCGGACATAACATATTCAACATAATCCCGTATTAATAACGACAATAATGGCCGCAGTACCGACGCTTTAAAGGAGAAATTAATCTTAATTCGGCATTCTTGTGTGATGTCTTCGKCGCTCAGACTGTAGTAGGTAGTTGGCGAGTTTTTTTAYTCTCTTATTCTCAATTTGTCAATGATCGGTTTTCTTTATTCTGTCATTTTTTATAAATATGTGCAGGTCTTTAAGAAATGTCGAATGAAGGCTAGCTCAAGCTTCCGATGCTAAAATTTGAGAAATTCAAAGCACTACTTCAGTGGATGATTTCGGTGGTACCCAATAAAAGGTCGTTTCATGAAGGAACATTTAAAATCTGCTTTCATTCGGCTTGATTTTGAGGAAAGGTCGCCGATGACCAAGAAATGTGCGATAAGTGAAAATGCAAATGCCAAAAATCATGTCAAACAAATGGATATCAAATTCTAAATAAGGATAATAGGGTATTTTAGGCACCCCCTAATCGTGCTAAATGAGAGCTAAATGGTTCATTAAGGATATGACCGTGTATTTTTTTTGGTGAGAGATTACGAGCAAGTCCAACATAAAAATAGCAATTTGTTTCTCTCATAAGTATATATAAACTGAATGCGGAGCTCCAAAATGCATTAACTGTTCTAAAGTGAAAAACACTCCAACCGCCCTTTCGTCACGGGACACCTTTCAGAGATCAACTGTAAAAATTCCAATCTTTCTCTCTCAAGTGAACAGCCACAGCCATTAGGAAGGCCCCAATTTTATGCAGTAGCCTGCTTTTGCAGGCTCTTTCAACAACATGGTGCTACGGCAGTATGACTATAAGATACCTCATCCAGTATGCGCCGGAAAGAAATTACGAGCAAGTTCAAAAAAATTCTAGTTTTCTACTGCTAGGGATTGTCCAAGCCCTATACGTGGATAACACTGTGTTATACTGCACTTTTTCGTTGATACCGCTCTGGGTATCAGAGTGTGGATAAGCTTTGGGTGTCACGGCGCAACACCATGGGAGACACTAAGCATTTAACGCGCCTGCCGCTACATGTCAAACAGAACAACGTAACGCGACACCGTCCTGCAACATTCGGTGCAGCGTAACGAGGATACTATGTTATTGAACAGACAGCGTCGTGATAATGATATCCAGCATCACGAAACATTATTTTGTCTCATCAGTCCATGCAAGCCTTAAACAGATAGGGATGGGTAACCCTGTATTTTGTGGCACTTTTGTGTTGATACCGATCTGTGCGTCAATGCGTTATAACACCTCGGGCCTTACGGCGCAACGCAACACTTAACATTTGACTTTATTTTAATTAGCGATCTTCTAAAAAAAATGTTCCCATAACCATTCTAAATTCTAGAGATTTAAATGAAATCTCAGTCAAAATAAAGCCTCAAACTGCAGCATTGGGAACATCAATTTATGTATTAGTTCACCCCAGGGACCACAAGGCGGCAATGCAAAAGCTACTGGAAAATAAAGACAATACTTTACTCACACTCTCATATTTAGAGAGAAACTCGTATAGAAAGTTTTTCAGAAAAAAAATTTTGATGAGGTGTGATTCAAAAAAACATTATAACATTACGTAAATACATGTTGCATCGTAATTATTAAAAACTCCGGTACCCATGGAATTATACAGAAAGTCACAATAAAGGTGTTCAGTAAGCCATTTGTTTAATATATCCTTGCGTTGTGTGGATCGTGATAGGAACGTAGCCCTTCCTCGGTATATATGTGGTGCCTGGGAAAGTGTCAGTTGATGTGCATTGCTCTAAATGGCCCTATAAGGCTCTGCTGCAATTTTGTTCAATACTTGTTCCTCTGTGTCTGGAACCCGAACATCTAACGTTGGCCACTATCTTCCTGGAGCCAATCTCCAGTACCTCTAGCCTTTTGTTGGCGGGAGTTCTTACAGCTTCTTCATATCTCTGTAGAATTTCCCCAGAACTATTCGCATATCCAGAAACTCGTGAAAGGAGCTTTAAAGTACGTCACAGTTTGACAAATTATTGACATTATTGACAAGGCCTATCCACCTGTAACTATCTGTTGATGGCAAAAAACATCATTGCCGTTTTGACTTTGAAAATATTTGCAGAAGAGAACTTTTTTAATATAAACAATTTTCGTAATTTGAAGCAAACATCATAATTTTTCTTTTTCAATGCTTAGGTATTCCGATATGCGACCAATTAAATATGGGACAATTTCAAAATAATGCTTAATAGAAAAGATAAAATTGGATTTTCAACTGTTAATATCGTCTATAAATTATAGAAAAAAAATGTCCATATTTTTGTTCAACTCTCCAAATGAGCCATATTACCCCTTAAAAAGAATGACGCTAATTTTGAATCACCCTGTATATTGGAAAAATTCCAACTAAATGAAAAATCGCCCAAAAAATTTTCGTCTGATTAAAGTTTTGTAAAATGTTGAGCACATTTTTGAATAACAGCGTTGCGTTGCGTTATTTTATGTTGTTGGTTTCATGTTTCCTGTGCACCACATGTTCGAAGAAAATATTTTTTTCAAAAGGAAGCAGGTAAAAGCCTAAGGGTTTTCTAATAGATAGAGGAACCAATTCCAGCATAGAAACTGTAAGTGATAACAGGAACTTCCTACGCCCAAAAAGCTGCAAACTCCGCCACTCCTAAACCAGCCATACAGACAGTCCACAAGAACCACACCAACAAGCTCCACGACCGAAAATAGACTCTCTAGTCCCACCCAATTCCTACTCTTAACAGAGTTTGAATTACCAACCCAAATTGATGAAATGATGCGGCTACGATAGTCTAAAATTCCATTCTAAGGGCCGTTTGCACCGTTTTATATTAAAACCAAGCTTACATAAATCAACCAAAATCAATCTTAATCAAAAATTAAGCTCGGCTTTAACGTAAACGGCTTGCACCGTACCAATCTGTTGTTGGCTTTGTTAAGCCGATGTCCAGCAGATCTGTTTGCCATATGTGGAATTAAGACCGTTTGCTGTCATGATACAATGAATACATGTATTCATTCTATCTATCTTTACATTAGATTTTGTCGATTGAGAAGATAAATCGAGCGATTAACCTCAGTTTAGAACACGTTTAAGACAAGATTCCTAACTTGTACAATCTAGGAACCTTGCGTTTAGAGTATTTTCCAACCCAACGTTTATATTTTAAATACATCTTTTTTTAACCATTTTTATTAAAGATTTTTATATAGGTGTATATATTTTATTTTGTACTGACAGACTAAAATTTTAAGGGAAATTTGCGAAATAATTTATGAATTGTTGTTGTGTAGTTTTGCGGAGATTTTGAAGATTACTTATGGTTTCATTCAGCAACTGAACAATGCCAATTAAATAATCCAAGTCATTTATATTTGTGGTGGTTTTGTAGAACCTAAATATTTAAAAAAAGTTAGTTCCTCCAAGTCCTCCAATGGATTATTTCCGTTATACAGGGTAATTCAAAATTGGCGTCATTCCTTTTGAGGGGTGATAGAGGCTCCCTTGGGGAGTACAAGAAAAATATAGAAAACATTTTTTTCAAAAATTTCGAGAAGATATTAACAGTTAAAGATGAAATTTCAACTTTGTTATTAAGCATTATTTTGAAATTGTTCCATGTTTAATTGGTAGCATATTGGAATACTTAAACATTCAAAAAGAAAAATTACAACCTTTGCTTCAAATTACAAAAAATTTTAATATCAAAAAAATTATCTTCTGCAATTTTTTTATAAAAAGGCACAGCGCAATTATGTTTTTTGTCATTAACAGATAGTTACAGGTAGATAGCCCTTGTGAATCATAACAACAATTTGTCAAACTGTGACGTACTTTGAACTTATTTTCACAAATTTGCGGATATGCGATTAGAGATACAAATGGAGCAGGGGTTAATTAACTTAATACGAGAAGCTGCTTGATAAGAGTGGATAATAAGGAGATTACACAGGTACAAACTTGTTTGGAGTTAACGATTCAAATGTTGGTGTTGTATGGTTGATTTTTAAACACCGACAT